GCGCGGGGCTGGGGGTTTCTGGCGATGGGAAAGCAGGAGAAATGCCTGCTGGGGCAGCCAGGGCAGAAGCCTTCACACCCGGGAGGGGACGCTCCGAGCTCCGGCCTCCCGCTGGGACCTGGCGCATCCCTCTCGTCGTAGTCCCGGGACGGGGCGCCCGGTTGGTGCTGCCTCCTGTGCGGTATGGCTTTCCCTGGTGTGAAGACGAGGAGATGGACTTGGAGAGGAAGGGTAACGCTGGACTTGGCCCTGGTAGAGGTCTGTCACACTCAGTAGGAACTAAGTAAGGCTCCTGCATTCTGTGACTTGGTTTAATAAAAGAAAAAATAAAAAATAAAAAAAAATCTGGGCTTTAACTGGTGTTGCTGCTTTAAAATCTGTGTCGGAATTTGAACAAGCAAATTAATAAAAGCAATAAAATACAAGCAACGCACAGAAGGACGATGCTTGCTTCAGTAGCTGAAGCGGCAGGATTCAGGGTAGCGCTCGGCTTTTGGGGTGTTGCGGTGCCGGGGGTGCCTGCTGAGGAGGAGAGCCTGGCGCGGCAGGGTGGTGCTGGGCAGGGGCTGTGGCCCCTCAGCCTTGGAGCGGCGCCGGCTCCGGAGTGACCCTTGTCGGCAAGAGCGCGCTCACGGGCGTTGCTTTTATGGCTGTGCGTCTGGTGTGCTTTTGTTGTAGCGGTAAAGAGCAGAGATAACCGGGTTAATTGTGTCTGTACTGAAAGTGCTATTAGGGGCAGTGAATCAATTCATGCTCTTACCTGGAAAGACAACCCACGGGGCTTGTTTTTTCCTCTGAAGAGGCACAGTTGGAATATGAGAATAGCATTTTCGATTTTTGAACTTGTCAAATATCTTAGTTGTGCCCAAACTCGCCTGAAAAACTTGAGTTATTAGAGGTTGTCTGAAACAATTTTTGAAATTTTTGTCGTGGGCCACCATAAGGGAAACAGATTAGAGACGTGCTATTTTTTTACGTCTAGTTTTGTGTGTTCATTCAGCTGTAGTGTTTTCCCAGCCTGTCTGCTGATGTGCTTGAACACGTTCCTGTTGAGGATGGTGCAGTGAACATGGATCATTACCTTCTGCCCATAGCCATGTAGAGAAGAATCTGTAGGAACTCATTACTTTAGTGGGTTGGCACACTTTACCTCCTGCTGCTCAGTCCTCAAAGCAGAAGGGAATAAATGGGTCTCAAATCATCTCCTCCCTTTGCTTAACAAAGCAAACCAGACGTGACTCCTCGTTCCCAGATGTCTGGTTGCTGTGGGAAGTTACCCTAGCTGAGATATTAGATAATAGCAATATTATGTGGCCTTTTATATTCATGGTAAAATGTCTTGCCTTTTTTTTTTTTTTTTTATTCCAAGGATTAAACAATACACTTTTGAAAAAGATTTTTTTGAGGGTCCTTACTCACCACTTTGCAGAGACGCGGAGCAGAGCGTGCGCTGGGTGCCAGGGCCCGTGCTGAACAAGCTGTGCCTCTCTGCGCCTTGCCCCGTGTGGGGAGCGCATGGGATTGCGCGTCGGGTTAGGTGAAAGCAGGAGGTTTAAGGTCGTGGAGGGGACGAAAGATGCAGGAGGTTTGGGGAACCTGGAGGAAGTGTATTTCCTAATGTGCCTCCGTGCCTGAACCGATACAGCGTATTTATTCTTTGCATATCAGCAGCAGAATTCTAGAAGTCGTAGCAGCAGCTTTCTTCCAGGTGAGGAGGGCAGGGCACAGCGAGCATTTTCACGTGTCTGAGGGAGGTTCGGAGGCTGGGGTGGGTGCTCATGGCTGCCCGCCTCGCGTGGTCCCGCGGAGGCTGTCCAGTGTCTGCTGAAGCCTGTGGGACTGACGGCGTCTCCAGAGCAAGCGTGGGAGAGTGCTGTGCTGGCGAGGAGCGAGTGGGCAGCTTAATATCTTCCAGAAATTTTCACAGGAAGAGTCGTGTTACATGTACTGCCCGGGAAGCCATGGCTTTCCAGCTGTGATTTGACGTGAACTTATCCAGCAGGTCATTTAGAAATCCTGTTCATTAGTGAGAAGCAAAACTTAACAGTGTTCCCTTCTGTCGTGCTGCGTTCGGCGAAAGGAATCATACATGCACTACGGTGTTCGGGAATTTCTCTACATCGAAGCTGTAATTTAAGATCTTAATAACCACACATCTGTTTTCTCTACTTACAGCATGGTGACAAGAAGGCAAGTGGAGCTTCTTCCAAACCGGGAGAGAAAAAAGCAGATGCAGCGGAGGTAAATACAAGTGTTTGAACATATTAAGAAGAAAAGTTGGTAATGAATTTCCTCCTATACAGATTTTTGTCTTTTGATAGCAAAGCGGCCATTTTCAGATAACTAACTGCTGACTGTAGTCGCTCATTATTTGTTCCAGGAATGTATAGTTCTGGATCATGCTGCTGAGCAGCCTCCTGAGAACAGTTCTTTGCTCTGCTCATCCTTTCACAAGTACTTTGTGTTACTATCAGTGGAAATTATCTATATGCGTCTGTTCTGCTGTGCAGGTGCGCTGTGGCACACATCTGGTGGTCCTGCTTTTTCAATTTTCTAGAAGCGCGGATGGAGTGAGTGCAGTGTGGTGCTTTCCACCTTGTCTGCATCCGGGCTCTTCTTCCAAAAATACAAATCTAAATTCACACACGGAAGTTGCATGTCTCTGCCGTCTCCTGACACACCTGCAAATACGTGGTCAGTCCTGTATTTAAAAAAAAATACTTATTTTTCAAGATACTGCCTCCTCATGGCCTGGTGTTTACAGTTCAAGAGTCCCTGACGGGTTATAACGTTGAGCTTACACAAGCGGCTTTACAGTCTGAGCACAGCGGGTGCTGCTAACAGTCAGAAGCCACGTGGGTTGCGGGCAGTGTTAGGAGCAGCGCTTGGCAGGGTCACCTCTCTCCCAGCAGCTCCAAGCCCCTGCGTGCCACGGTGAGTCAGGCTGGCATGGCAAAGAGGTGCCGGGGTCCAAGCCGGGGCGTGAGTGCCGGTGCCGATGGGTCGTACCCCAGGAGCCTCTGCGACTGCAAGCAGGAGCCGTGCTCCCCCAGGGAGGGCCAGCAGCAGATTCAGAAAGAGAAGAGTGGGTAGGAACGTCTGTTACGAGTCATCTACTTCTTGGCTTCAAATGTCAGTCGTTGGTACAGGGAAGCCAGAAATAGGTGTGCCTGGTACTTTCTTCATAGCAGAAGCTATCTGGAAAACAACTTAGTCTGAGCAGTGGTGTTTAACTGCACTGTAAATCAAGGCCAGTGAACGCTTTCATTACTGTTCTCTGAAGCAGATGATTAAAGCAATTACCTTTCTTTCCTGCCCAGATACCAGGGAAGCCTGGGAACGTGTTCCTCCTTTCCTCTCTAGACAGTTCAATGTTTTCTTAAATAGCATTGTTCTTTTATATATTCTTAGCTCAGTGCCAAGTTCTTTGACTGTGTGTTGTTGCTCTTAATATAGAAGCACTGACTTCTTTGTGGGCAGGGTGGGAGTTGAAGCCTGCAGTTTGGGTTGTGGAGTTACTGCTTCTGACCTCTCGCTGGGGAGATCTGTCTCTAGCTGGAGGAAGAAGGCTGTTACTGAGTTTGTTGCCCTGACGCTTTTGCTTTTTGAGTCCTTAGAGTACGGCGTGTGTGTTTCCTTTTGTAAATTTTTCTGTATACTTGACTTGTTCCATTGACTTTTCAATGCTTAGAAGTGCAAGTGGGTCAAACCACTTTTCTTTGGGCCCACTGAACGGCATTAACTCCGCCATGTTCACCTCTGCCTCCAAAACACTCTGATTTTTTTAAGCGGTTGAGGCAGCAACTGAAGATCTTTGCGCAGCTTTCCCAAGGGTCTGCAGTGTTGTATTTTTGTTTGAAAGTTGGAGGTTATTCCTGTAGTCTTCAATTTTTGAAGCAGAAATTCATAACCTATCTGTAGATAGCTGTGGACAACCTTGTCTAGAATACTGAGTTTGTCCACCTCCCTCCTAGAAAAGGTTTGGTAAGGCATTATAAAAATGACAATTAAATACGAAGCTCTTCAAAGAGTTCGTATTCATATTGAAGGGAAAATTGTAAAAGCCCGTACGCTCATTGTTTAGCTAAAAATAACATTAAACGAGTCTCTCTGTCAGATTCTTTGGCTGTGTAGTCCTGAAGGAGTGAGAGAAGGAGAGTAAAGCTTTGAAAAGTAAAGGTGGGAAAGGTCTGGCAGAGGTTTGAGTTTGAGGAGCTGCTAATTAGCCACGTCAAGGAGAAGTCAGAATGAGTACTGTTAAGGTGCAGAATAGGCTCTTAAGCCTTTCCTTCTTGGAGACTTCAAAGTAGACTGAAAAACCCACAGCAGGTTTAGTCTAAATAGAAACCTGCTTGGTAAGATGTGCATTTGCACGGAGGTGCTGCGGAGATTAAATGGCTCCGTAAGATTTTTCCATTTCTAGCATCATCATACAGTAAAATAAAATAATGCTTTAAAAGATTTAGGAGTTACCAGCGTGAAGATGGTCTGTTTGATAACACTGTAGTTTTGGAATTACGTACAGTCATAGCAGGGGGTATGTGCACTTTATCTGCGATGAGCCAAGAGGCGTTCGATCATGCGATTGTTTCTTCAGAAAGTGTTTATTTAAAGTTCCCAGTGAGTTACTGCTTAACTACCGCACAGTATTTCCATCTTTAGATCTTAAAGCATTGTGTAAAGGAGACTAGGCACGTTATCCGAGTGACACAGATAAAGCGTGGGGAAGGGGAGGTGCTGTAGCACAGAGCTGGAGTTGCCTTAACTTACCGTCATGCCTCGTAGGAGAGGAAAGAAACCAGGTCACCACGTACCAGGCTGGTCCAGGCAGCTGTGTGATTAACAGCGTCCTCCAAGCTCGGAGGGGAGGCCGTCAGCTCCCTGAGAGCAGCGAGCCTTTCCCTCTGAGCCGCGGAGCAGGCTCCCCTGCTGTCGTGGTTCAACCCCGACCGGCAGCTCGGCTCCCCCCCAGCCGCTCGCTCTGTTAAAGAATTTCCCGAGTCTCTGGGTTACTCTGGGTTTGCATTTATTCACAGCTCAGCTGGGCCATCACCTCAGTGAGTGGCAAATGAAAAGCACAAGCGTAATAGTTTTATATCTTTCTATAATAATTGAATGGAGAGTTTCCGTGGTGTTTGCAATTGCTCCTTTGTCTGGCCAGCTGAAAGCCCCTTGTTTCCCACAGGCTAGCGTACTCGTATCGTTCTGTCGCGGTTCTGCTTCTGGAACACAAAGTCCCTTGGCTCATCCGTCAAAAGTCTTCTCTCGGCAGCCACCCGGACACGAGGCAAAAGCGTAAAAA